TGAGGTTAAACACTTGTTGAAATTTTATGAAAAATTTACAAGCTGAAACCAAGGTTATGCTAAGAAAAGTACTTGGGTACTTGCCGAGGTAAATCAACAGTTTGTATAACCGAGGTGTGTCACCCCGAAAAGGTTGCACAAAGATTGAAGTATATATTAAAGATATGCAAAATATTCTAAGTATGGAATCATACAAGAATAGTAAAGAGAAGGCAAACATACAAAGCCCACAAGCCCAGAGGGGCTGCCGACAGGCCCCTAGGATGCCAGAGGAACTACAGACAGACCCCTAGACAACTAGGAGGGCTGCCGAGTAAGTACAAGAGGCAGTCGGAGAGTCCAAGAGAACTGCCGACAACTAGGGTAAGTGCATCGGAGGTGTAGGTGGCCCATAGGTCGACAGTGGCTGGGTGAGAGTCTACAGTGACTGGGCTGTTAAAACGAGACTGCCGGCAGCGGAAGAGGAGGAGAGCAAAGGAGAGGGGCTAGGATTTTGGCTCTGATACCATGTAAGTTTAGAGAAAAGAAAGGGTTAGGGAATAAGTTAAACTTCATTTCCTTTTATATTGATAATACTGAGTAATTATAGGAGTGCCATAAGGCATAATATAAGGAAACACAATCACACAATCACACAATCACACAATCACACAATCACACAATCACACAATCACACAATCACACAATCACACAATCACACAATCACACAATCACACAATCACACAATCACACAATCACACAATCACACAATCACACAATCACACAATCACACAATCACACAATCACACAATCACACAATCACACAATCACACAATCACACAATCACACAATCACACAATCACACAATCACACAATCACACAATCACACAATCACACAATCACACAATCACACAATCACACAATCACACAATCACACAATCACACAATCACACAATCACACAATCACACAATCACACAATCACACAATCACACAATCACACAATCACACAATCACACAATCACACAATCACACAATCACACAATCACACAATCACACAATCACACAATCACACAATCACACAATCACACAATCACACAATCACACAATCACACAATCACACAATCACACAATCACACAATCACACAATCACACAATCACACAATCACACAATCACACAATCACACAATCACACAATCACACAATCACACAATCACACAATCACACAATCACACAATCACACAATCACACAATCACACAATCACACAATCACACAATCACACAATCACACAATCACACAATCACACAATCACACAATCACACAATCACACAATCACACAATCACACAATCACACAATCACACAATCACACAATCACACAATCACACAATCACACAATCACACAATCACACAATCACACAATCACACAATCACACAATCACACAATCACACAATCACACAATCACACAATCACACAATCACACAATCACACAATCACACAATCACACAATCACACAATCACACAATCACACAATCACACAATCACACAATCACACAATCACACAATCACACAATCACACATTTCCTATTCTAACTTATTTTCTATTCTAACACTTTCTTGACATAATTCATTTTGCCAGCAATTTGTGTTGGAATTCTTGGGCGGCTTTATATCTTAGCTTGTAAGGATTCCAATTATCATATTTCACTTCAAATTTTCTTATCTTCATCCATCACGGTTCAATTTAAATGGCAATCTGCATTAATTAGCCCCTCTTATGGACAGTCAATTCAGTAACGATAAAAAACTTAAAAACTGACTCTTGGGCATCCTCTGGCCATCAATCCCTGTTTCTATTTTTAACCGCTCTACACTAACATATGAAATTGTCATTTGTTTTACTTGTCCCAAAACCTTTCAAATCTAAAGCAGGTGTCTTCATATTTACAATTATCAAATCTTAGCACCAAAATATCATGAAAAAGCTAGTTAGATAAAGCATCATGACAGAAATAATAATTAAGGAACTCAATCCATACGTGGCATAGACAACATGTAGCTACACCAAACAATATACAATTAAATCCTGAAACATTCTGATTCTCATGGCTACAACAATGTGAAGAAAAATTCTGCTGATAAATATAAACCAATCCATGGTTCTATGGTGAAAAGGGTTGCATCTTCAAGGAATGATAAATACTTACGTATGGAAAAGAAGAAGAAGGAGCAGAAAGATGAGGGAAACTGACAGAGCAAACAACAGCAAGATCATGATTACATCTATCCACCTGAAACAAACCCATTCCAGAATCCAACATTAGATAGTTGAAAAATGCAAATGGAAAGGGAATTTTAACAAGCTACGATATCATAAAGATTGCCATATTTACAAAATACTGGCTCCTTTTTTCTTTCTTTAAATATTATTATTTTTCTTCTTTTTGGTTGTGGGCAATCAACCAAACCCCTTTGATATAAAGGTCCTAGAAGGAAGCATACCACGCCTTTGAAAAATTGGCCATTAAATAAGTAATGTACAAGATGCCAGTCCAAATGCACAAAGCTGTTTCCTCACAAATGTACCACCTGGTGCATCAATTTGCAAAAAGATAAATAAAATGAAGAGTGTTATTGGTTAAAAAATGAATTTAAAGTACATGAAAACAAAATGTGTGTCTACTGATATCCATGTTACAAGGACTCAGCCGAGGGTATGAATGTCTGATTCATCTACTTCGCATGTCACAAGGCATGGCAAAAGTATTCACATTTCTTAATATACTTCTTTTATTTTTTAACGTAAAATGGTGTTCACAAGGTGTAATAGATCATTCCACGGTAAATTGTGTGTGTTTGTGTGTGTGTGTGTGTGTGTTGGGGTGGAGGGGGGGGGTTAGAAGATATGCATTGTTTTATGGTAAATCTCAAATTATTAAATATGTTTGCTATGTGAATGCCCAACTATACATATAGGAATCGTATCCCATACCCTTACCCAAGTGTCAAGTATCCAACATGAGTACTTCAAACATTTATAAGAGTACATGTAACATATTATATTTGGTTGGATTGCAAAGTTTACAGATAACTATATCTCCAATGTTCTGAACAAGCTGCAATGTAGAACTCCGAATAACAACAGACAAAAACATAACTTTGATGTCATAAAATTAAAATTATGGGTGTGACATAGACATAGTATCACAACTTCAAACCCTCATTTTTATATACTATTCAAATCATAATTTTAAGGTTTCAATCAGATTATTCTGAACTGGAAAATGAAAATTACAACCAAATAACTGAAGACCTACTTCCAATAAACATTAATGTGACACCACACATGAAAACCACAAAATGGGACTTTGACGCTCTGTTTGGTTGGGGGATTTGAGAAGGAATTTGAAAAGGAAAAGGAAAAATGTCGGTGAAATGTGAATAAAATATACCTTGTATTTTAACATATCACAACTTCAAACCCTCATTTTTATATACTATTCAAATCATAATTTTAAGGTTTCAATCAGATTATTCTGAACTGGAAAATCAAAATTACAACCAAATAACTGAAGACCTACTTCCAATAAACATTAATGTGACACCACACATGAAAACCACAAAATGGGACTTTGACGCTCTGTTTGGTTGGGGGATTTGAGAAGGAATTTGAAAAGGAAAAGGAAAAATGTCGGTGAAATGTGAATAAAATATACCTACATTGTACATAGTTTCACACACCTTTTCTCTTTCCTTTTCCAAATCCCTTCTCAAATCTCCCAACCAAACACAACATAAATAATTCAATAACTATGAAGTGGAAAGAAAATAAAAACAAGAAAAAGTAATTATCTGTAATATATTTTTCAGGGTTTATAATTGAATTAAACTTTTTTCCAACACATATAAAATGTTAGAAAGGTGAAATTACAGATAACACCATCGCATCTTTGGTATTACATAGTAACTGATAACCAGCCCTTGTCATGTAAGGATTATCATATGCATAGTTGATGTTGTTGGTTGAGTATTTAGCTATAAGGGTAGTTTTGTAATCTTTGGTTTATAAGTAGAAATATAAGAGAGAGTACCCTGAGAGCTTCTATTTGCACACACCCATTACACTTTATGCACATCATTTTCAATAAATAACTTGTTCGGAAGTAGCATTCCGAAAATAAACAATTTGTTCGGAAGTAAAATTCCGAAAATAAACAATTTGTTCGGAAGTAGAATTCCGAAAATTATCATTTCTTTTGACATTCAACTTCCGAATGTGTATATTTGAATTGTGTGTGATGTCCATAATAGTAATTTCACTTGGGAATAAAATTGTAATAAAAATAATTATCATTAAGTGTGTGCACAGAGTGGATTGAGTGTGTGCAAATAAAAGTTCCCGAGTACCCTAGAGCCTATGAAGCACGGACACCTCTCCAAGGGCTCCGTACTAGTGTCGGACACGGACACGCGTCGGACACGTGTCCGACACTCATGGCAGAGTGTCCCATTTTTTTTTTAATTTTTTTACATCCGGACACGTTTTGGACACGTTATAGACACGTTTGGACACGCGCAGGGGCAATTTCACAATTTATTAAATTTTTTTGGGGTCGATTTGAAAATAAGCAAAAACAGATCAAATTTGCCCTAATCTACCATTCGCCCTAATCTCTTCGAATCGACTTTCGAATAGAAGATAAACAGCAGAGAAAGGGTGAGAAAGAGAGAAAGAGAGAGGACCTGACTTCGTCGTTCGTCTTCTCTCGTCGATCGTTGCTCCTCGTCGGTCGTCGGTCTACGATCTGCGATCTTCAGTCGATTTTTTGCTTCGTTAAGGTGCGACTCTTCTTCGATCTTCTTCGATCACTCTCTCTCTCTCTGTCTCAGCCTCTTCCTTCCTCACAATTTCTCGCCGTTATTTCATTTTTTTCCTTTATTTCATTTTTTTGTTTTATTTTTTTTTCTTTTATTTTGATTCTGATTTTTATTTTCTTTTTTTCTTTTATTTTTTTTCTTTTATTAATTTAATTTTTTCTTTTCTTTTTCTTTAATTCTGATTTTGTTTTATTTTATTTTTTCTTTTCTTTTATTTTTTTTTTATATTCTGATTTTTTTTTCTTTTCTATTATTTGAGGATATAATTTTAATAATGTATGTTTATTAATTTTATTATAGGGACCAATTATTAATTCTGAACCAATGGCTACGGATGGTAGTTCTAATGATATACCTGATGATGATTTTGATGAGAACAAACCATTGTGGAAGTATATAACTAAATTAGCAAAACCTGGGGAAAGAGGAGGAAATTGCCAATTACAATGTAAATTTTGTAATAATACTTTCAAAGGTTCATATACAAGAGTAAGGGCACACTTGTTAAAACTCCCAGGAAAGGAAATTGGTGCTTGTAAGAAAGTGACAAGTCAAAATGAGAATGATGCTGCTGAGCTGAGAATTAAAAATGCTCTTTCCAAAAATGTACCATTGCCTCCTTCCACTGTATCAGTGGGTAGTAGTTATGCTTGTGAATCAAAGAAGAGGAGAAAATGTGAGAGTGGGAGTGGGAGTGCTATTGAGAAAGCATTCAACTTGAAGGATAGAGAGCAATTGCATTTTGAAATTGCTAGGATGTTCTACTCGGGGGCCGGGGGGGGTACCTTTTAATCTTGCAAGAAATCCTTACTATGTTAGCTCTTACACATTTGCTGCAAATCATAATATTCCTGGATATTTGCCTCCCGGTTATAATTTGTTACGAACCACATTACTTCAAAAAGAGAGGGCAAATATTGATAAATTGTTGCAACCAATTAGAAGCACATGGAAGGAAAAAGGGGTGAGCATTGTTAGTGATGGTTGGAGTAATTCTCAAAGGAGGCCTTTGATTAATTTTATGGCAGTGAGTGAAAGTGGGCCTATGTTCATTAAAGCAGTTGATTGTTCTGGAGAAACTAAAGACAAATATTTCATTGCAAATTTGATGAAAGAAGTGATTAATGAGGTTGGGCCAAGTAATGTGGTACAAGTCATCACGGATAATGCTCCTAATTGTAAGGCAGCCGGACAACTCATTGAAGCTCAATTCCCTCATATTCTATGGACTCCTTGTGTGGTGCACACATTAAATCTAGCTTTGAAAAACATTTGTGCCGCAAAGAATATTGAGAAGAATGAAGTCACATATGAAGAATGTAGTTGGATTAGTGATATTGCCGGAGATGGTTTGATGATTAAGAATTTTATCTCTAATTACTCAATGCGATTGGCTATGTACAATGAATTTGTGTCATTGAAGTTGCTTTCGGTTGCCGAAACACGATTTGCCTCCACAATTGTTATGCTCAAGAGGTTAAAGCCTATAAAACGTGGTCTTCAAGCAATGATAATTAGTGACAAGTGGAATTGCTATAGAGAGGACGATGTTGGGAAGGCAAAATTTGTGAAAGAAAAGATTTTGGATGATGTGTGGTGGGATTACATTGATTATATTCTTTCCTTCACGGGTCCTATATATGACATGCTTAGGGCTTGTGATACAGGCAAACCTTGCCTTCACTTAGTATATGATATGTGGGACTCAATGATAGAGAAAGTGAAGATGTCAATTTATAGGCATGAAGGGAAAAGAATAGATGAGGAATCTACATTTTACAATGTGGTGCATCAAATTCTCGTGGATCGTTGGAATAAAAACAATACTCCTCTCCATTGTATGACACATTCATTGAATCCAAAGTAAGTACCACATTTAAATTTGTTTTAGATATTTCATTTTAATGGACTTATCTAGTCTTTCTTGAAATAATTATTTTTCCTATTTTGGATTGTAGGTATTATAGTGATGAGTGGCTCCATGAGGATCAAAATAGAGTTCCTCCACATAGGGATGAAGAGGTGACACGTGAGAGGAACAAGTGTTTTAAGAGGTATTTTGAAGATATCACGGAGCGAACCAAGGTGATAACTGAGTTTGGAAAATTTTCAGGTTATGTTGAAGCATTCTCAGAGTATGATTCCATTCATAATAGGTGGCACATGGATCCTTATACTTGGTGATATGCATATGCACCATCTCTTCAAAAACTAGCTTTGAGATTGCTTGTGCAACCTGCCTCTTCATCTTGTTGTGAGAGAAATTGGAGTACTTACTCCTTTATTCACTCAGTGAGAAGGAACAAGATGGTCCCTCAACGCGCGGAGGATTTGGTGTTCATTCATAGCAATCTTCGTCTTTTATCAAGGAGGAGCTCCCAATACTTGCAAGGAGAGACAAAAATGTGGGACATTGCCGGAGATAACTTTGACTCACTTGATGATATTGGAATGCTTGGGATAGCTAACCTCTCACTTGATGAACCGGCTATGGAGGCGGTCCTATTTATAGATGAAGGAGAAGATGGAGGCGGTGGTGAAGACGTTGTAATAGTTTTCTCTACTTAGGTTGATATTTATGGATTTTGTAATAGTTGTTGGTACATTGGATAATTTTATATTTTGTGGTTTGACTTTCATGCATTTTGTAACAAATGATGGTTGGTAACTTCGAATAACATGTTATGTATTGATGGAATGCTATTTTATGTTAATTGTGAACGATATATATGATGTTAAATCAATTAAATGTTTATTTTTTATAATTTTAATAGTGTTATTTTGTATATTTTATTACCTTTATTTGATTTTTTTTAATAATTTTATGACATATAATAAATAAAATTAATTAGATATATTGAACGTATCCCCCGCGTGTCGTGTCCCCTATTTTTTGAAAATTTACGTTTTTGCGTGTCCGTTTTGCGTGTCCGTGTCGTGTCGCGTGTCCATGTCCGTGCTTCATTGCCTAGAGCAATAATAATTGATTTTCTTTTCTTGTTTTAGCGTTGTCGTCTGTCTTCTTTTTTCCCTCCTTCATTCTTAATCTATTCTCTTTCAATTCAACTGAGGTATTATTAAATACATCAATAGTTGTAGATAACTTTAAAATGATGTTGAGAAACAGATAAACCCTCACACATGAGAGTACCTTTTTAAACATGAGACATTTCATTCACCAATACAGGAAGGCCTAGTAGATATGGAAGACAAGTGCATTACCAGCACACAACCATAAGTGTTATTGTAAAAACTAATAACAGGATAAGAAAACATAAAATCTGTCAACGCTATTACTTTTCAAATGACCAACAAAAATGTCAAATATAATATAAGCAAACAAAAACTAATATTTTTTCCCTTTCTTGACTTAAAAGATGGGCAAGGGTTCACAGGGCCCCTGCGGCCTGCATAAGCTGACCACATAGTCATAAGTCCAACTTGAGCATTGAGCAAGTAAGACTGAGCACTTTACCACCTAACCACCTGCTGGTGGTGGTAAAAGAAACTTTTTTTTTTTTTGATAAATAACCAAACTTTATAAAAAAGTATCAAGACGATGCAAAGAATACAAAAAAGGAAGCCATAGAGGCTCCACAAACTAACAAATCAAATCCTCCACAAATTCTACAAAAGCCAAAACATCCGGATCAACCGATCTAGTCACCCAACCATACAAAATCGTAAGAAGCCGTCTTCCTAACCAAGGGACCGAATGAGATAGCCCTTCAAAAACACGCTTATTTCGCTCCAACCAAACCAACCATAGAATACAATTAATTTATGACATACTAAAACGATGTACACTCACCAAAATCGGCAGTGGTTACGCTGGCCTATGCAGGTCCCAAGCCAAAGACAATGATGGTCGAACTGAAGAACACATTTGTCACAATCTTGACAATGCTTCGCACGTGGGGGCTGTGAAAATGCCGATGCAGAATAAACAACAACCAGAAGTTACATCAAAGTTAGCAAACTGTCATAACAGCTTCAAAGAAATTTTGTAAAAGCACACGCATTATAAACTTAGTCAAGTAAAATTTATACAGCTAACGTTAAAATGCAGAACTGTGCAAGGCAATTTCTAGGCAACAACTTTCTCAGAAATGTTGGTTGTGTAAACTGTATAATATCTTACTTGAGCGTCTGAGGTTCTCCTAGTAGAACCTATACTTCCTTGAAACTACAACTGAAACCTCACCAACAACAACAAAAATAATAAATAAAACCATCAGGTTGCCTCTCCGTTAAGGGACGAGATAGTGGAATGTATTTTCCAACACTTGTGATGGGACAATTCTGCAGATGGAAGAGACTAGGTGGTTCTCAAGGACCGGTAATGGTTTGACTGGTTTGCTGGTTAAACCATGTGTTTCAACAATTTCTTAAAAATAAACTGTTTTTAAAGTCAAATGGGTTTGGGGGTTTATCCAAATCAGAACCTAGCCTAGTCACCGGTTCAACTAGTTGAACTAGCCGATCTGGTCCGGTTTTTAAAAGACCGAGGATAGAAAATAGTAAATTAACCTCAAAGTATGGTCGGTAAACGTGTTTTAAGCGCCACACATGCACAGTGTTCAACATATGTGCTGGTGCTGAAAGAAGACAGTCTCCATCTGACTTGTGCCATGAAAAGGTTCAGCTTATTTATATTTTAGGCCTCGTAAATTAATTTTCCCAACAAAAACACATTTCAGAACTTAGAAAAATTGACCAAGATCAACTATGTAATGGTCCCAATCAAATTTAGAATAGGTGGGTCTCAATTTAGGTTATAAGGTGTCTTTTTATATGTGCTAATTAGCATTAATCACCCCCAAACACATAACATGTACACAATGAATTGATCATTGTATAGTTAGTTCTCATTTCCAGTCTATCAATAATGTGTTTCTTTAGCTTTTTTGTTTCCAAAAAGATTGTGCATGCTTCCAGTAGGCAAACATACTCAAACAGCATAGCACTCTGCTGATTTCACAATGACGCAAAATGAAGAAGGAAAATCATTCTTGGCTCTTAAGTGACATTTTTTCTCTTGATTTTTTCCCCTAATCCTGATAGGATACTATAACAATCTTCATTTGTTACATTGATCATGCATTGACAAGATTGGTAGCAGAATCAGGTGTAGTATACAAAAGAAAGCTACAAACATGATAAAATACTACCTGCACAATGTTACAGTAAGTGCAAGTCCAAGTTCTGCAAAAACCAAGAGGAAATATTGAGTCATTAAACTGTGCATCAATACAAACTTAATTATGTGAGTTTTTTTTCTATATTGCTCATTTCTTATATAATATATTGGGAAAAGAAAAAGGAGAAGGAGAAGGAGAAGAAGAAGAAGAAGACACTCAGTTTGAAGTTACTTCCAGTTTCACACAAATTTTAATTTTTAAACAAAAGAAATTATGAGTTTCAACAAGTTTGCACATGGGATTCAATAAATATTATTTGACCTAAATGAAAAAGGGTGGAGAAGAGAGAATACAATACTGCATTTTTTGAGCTGACATAACACAACTTCAACACAAGTCTCAACTTGATTAATTACTTTGTCAATAATATGGTTAAACTATATTAATGCAATACCCCACATAACAGTGTTGCAAGTTCACAGCCAAGAGAGTTGATGAATACTTACACTTTAACTTTTTATCTAAAACATAATAATCAAGCAACTGGTGTATGTCACGTAAAACAAGCACGTTACCAGTGAGAGAATTACCATATCATATATCTACAATATTCATCAACTTATTACACAAGTACCATATGTCACACAAATTAAGTAACCATATTGATGGGAGAATTAAAATTACAGCGAAAATAACGTGCATTCAAATTGAAAAAGAAAAAAATAAAAGAAACTTACTGCAAGTAACCTAACACAATTTGCAATATCCCAATAGTTTCACTTGCAAATTTACTTTCACATCCACAACCAATTCATATTTACAATTGCACACTCTTAAACCCCTATCCCTTGCATATTGAGATTTAGATCCCTTACCAACATATATTGATAAAACACACACACACACACACCTAGTGATGTCGGATGGTAGAAGAGATTGAAACAAACCAAAGGAAAAAGAATATAAAATAAACGAAACTAAACAATAGCAAAAACAATAATTAGAATTAAAACCAGAAATAAAAATAACTATAATTAAATCCTAATCTCCCCCCCCCCCTCTCTCTCGCCCCCCCTCTCTCTCGCTCTCACACACACACACACACACAAATCACAATTCAAAAATGCAATTAGAACATTTAATTCACAACTACTTTTTTCGCATTCAATAGCATTAATTCTTTGGTTTCTAATTGTCTATTTTTTTTATTACGCTCATTAGTAAATAGTAAAACATAATGAACCCTAGAGAAAATTTTACTTATTGCTTTTAAAAATCTGGATGCATGCACAGCCTCACACACTAAGTTGCATGAATCAATTGGCTCCCCTTGAATTGTTGCATCATCATCTAGGGCTGCTATTAATTCTAATGCTTGGGAACATTTTGAAAAAATAAAGTAACTATTTCCTTATGAAACTAGTGAAACAAAAACAAAAAATTGTAAACTTTCTGCAAAAATTCCTAGTGCGAGATCAACAAGTGGTACTACTAAGACAGTTTAAAATAATAATATAGATATAGAAATAAAATGCAATTAGGTAAGATTACAAACAGATAATTTGATTACATTTTCAATGATCTTATACGTGCACAATATTCAATTGTTGATTATATAGTAAAAAAATTGAAAGTAGAGTTATGAAGAATTGGTTCAACAAGTTTTTGTTCCTCAACATGGCTTTTCAAGAAATACTGAGAAAAAAGAAAAAGGTAATGACATGATTTTTAAAAAGATACTGATTAATGAATTTACCAATTCTGAATGAAAATTTTTGTTTAACATCTGATTTGAGAAAATCAATACAAGGTTTAGAATATCAATGCATTACTGCACATTTATAGATGATGATTGGAAATTAAATAAAAGTTATTCCATTTGGCTATAATTCACTTGGGGAAGCAATAAGATTAGGATTGATCTAAGAAGCACGGACATTTCTAACGGACACCAACACTCATCGGACAGCTTTTAACATGTTTCAAACACACGTCCAAACTTGTTGTATTATTTTATTTTGTTTTTTCAAATTAAACATGGACATACTTCAGACACTTAAAGGACACGTGTCCATTGATTAGACAAGCATGAAACACATCACAAGTTTGAACAAAATAACCTAGGATCTAATGGTCAAAGAAAAACAATGTTGATTTATAACTATTTACGCCTCCTTTAAATTTTGGAAATTAGTGTTATGTTATTTTAGTGTACCTCTCACATGTCATGTTGTGCATTTTTTGAAAATTGTCATATTGGTATGTCCACATTTACAGAAAGCAAGGAACCCCATATTCATATTGGTATGTCCCCCCAAAGAAAATACAAATTCAAAGAAACCCATATATACATGTGTTCTAGTGTATTATATTGTTTTCTTAGATAGTAGCCCAACTAAATCATGCAAGCTTCCTTTCACAAATTGAAGAGAAAATGATCAACAAAGTACAACGAAGCTCACCGGAATAACCTTTCAAAGGTTTAAGAGACAATCTCCAACTAGACATGAAAGGGAACAAAGAGTAGTGCAACGAAAGGGTCTTACTACCCCACCCCGACTCATTATTCAGATCTTGTTTTCTGGCCTCAACCTAATTGCCCTTACAACCAATATCAGAAATAGCATGGATGCTCTTGAAAAATAGATGAGAGAAATCCATATTACTATCGATACTCAAAGTTCAAGCCCATAGACAACATGTTGAATTCAGTAAGGAGGTTTGCTTTCAAGGTAGCCAGTATAGCGTCCCTACAAGTCACCCAACCAATTGAACAAAGTCTTGCTAATACAGGCAAACACCTGGGAAAGCAACATGTTGTAGTGTGTCCTATGTTTCCCATCACAACGTTAACTCTCCTATCACAGGTCACATGTAGACCTTTCGGGCATCTTCGATCCGTACTCTGGGTTTCTTATCCATTGTCCATTGTCCCACCACCTCAAGTCCACCTTAAACAAGAGGCTGCACCTAGGTTTTCCAATTTTAAAGAAGATGATATCACTAGGAGAGTCAAAGAAAGGATCTACATATGAGTTCTATAAATATAAAATAAAAATAAAAATAAAAACAAACAAAAAGAACTTATGATAGTGGGGTGCCTAGAGATATAATAAAGTGGGTGTTGGACAAAAAAGATATGACTAAAGGGAATATTAATGCAATAAAAGATATGCATGATAGAATTGTGACTATGATTAGATCACCTACAGAAAAAACTGTTAAATTTCCAATCACGGTAGGATAGCATCAAGGGTCAGCTTTGAGCCTTTACCTATTTGCCTCTATCTTCTCATACAAGAAATAAGTATAGCTTGGCAAAATACTATCCTTCTCCCTATGTGCTGCAATACAATCCATCCTCTAGTTTTCTAAAGACAACTACCACAAACCTGAAATCCATCTTAGTCCAAGCAACTAGAATCTACTGTAATGCTAACGTACGCTGATTTGCAGCAACCATTTCATATGAAGTTTACAGATACACAAAACAATCTCTTGATTCAACATGTAAAAATGATAACTTCCCAACCAAATAGAATTCATGAGCATTGATGAACATCTAACAGAAAGTAACCGAATTCATGAACATCGATGAACATCTAACAGAAAGTAAACAAAGTGCATAGGTTGAGATTATAGGCATGATTTAATGTGCAAGATGAGTTGATCTGGAGATGCCAAGAGAAGTACAATCAGATCATTGATCAAATTTCTCTTACCTAGCAGATGTTCCAGGAGGGTACATCTCCATCACCAGTTTTGTCCAAGATGTTGCATCACTCCCTAAAAGATTCCTTCCCAACTGATTGCCATCCACATTAATGACTACGCTCCCATTTTTGCTTGAAGCAGGTTGTCTTTACTTGATCAGTTAGAAAATTAAGATAAGTGGAACAATATAACACCAAATTCAAATAATAAAATCTCCTACGATCTCGATGTTGCATTATGAAAACATGAAATGAATCTACTTCAAAACTTATTATTTTCCTTTTTCCCAAGTGTTTCGTCATAGTAATGGTAAACCAAATGGAAATGGAAACTAGGGCTTACTTTGAAGTCATTGTTGTCTTTCTAAATAAGGCATCTCTCTCATTAGCAGACCTCATTGCATCAAGAACATAGCTAACCAAACAAAAATGAAGAACGAAGCAATCATGTCAGATAGCCAACGACATAATATTCCCATATGATACAAGCACTTTTAGATGGAAGCTCTTTGCAAAAAGATTATTCTTTTAATTCATTGACATTTACCCAGGGGAAGAACAGGAAGTCAGGAAATATTGAGCCAATGTAGCTACAAACAATAGCAAATATAATGCTGTGTACCTGAGAGAGAGAGAGAGGAAACATCAGTAAATATTAAAAACAATTCAAATCAGTCATCAAGTGAGAATTAGTGAACATATAGATATAACTAAGATGTCTGACAATAAAACAAAAATTGTTTTCACCAAATCTTTGTAATTGCCGTCGAAGGTGTTACAAACTCGTATCTCGAGGCTCACACATCAAATGTGAATCATGTTAGCCAAACAGGTTGACCATGTGAATCACATAAATTGGCATCTGAATCTTGTACAATACAAGGATCTTCAATGTATCAGTCATGTATTCTCATGCTCGAGACAACGCATCAAAATAAGCAAAACTAAAATAAAATAAAAAAGAAAACTATTACAAAAGGTTGTATGATGTCAGCTGCATCAAATGATTTCAAATCAAAGTTTCCTGTAAAACTTTACAGGCTAGCGGAATTTTGTTAGTTTAATTATTTATGTTAAAATCATGAAGCTCAACCTTAATACTCCTTAATAATATTTTATATATACAATGCAGGAATTTCAAGCATACGATCAATGTTCCAGCGTCAACATAACGACTGAATGCTACAAGACTAGTGTTTCATTCATTGGGATGGTGAATTGAAATGGGTAACCCAAAATTGTCAAAAAGAATATTTTTTAGAATGCAGTTTGTAAGGTCTCATTGGCAGCATCCATCTACCACCTATTGAGGGAAAGAAATGGCAAATCTTTGGCCAAAATGCTAATGACATAAGGGTACTGGATGAAACTATTATAGATGATGTTAGAGCAAGGATGTGTTCATGGAGAAAGGTTGAAAATTCCCAGAATAATTGGCTAATCTGTCTTGATTGGAATGTACCTACAACAATCTTGAAGGCAGAGGAGAGCAGTAATGCTTAATATGCTTTTGGATTGTGATGGTGCTGAGCGTTGGTAGTGTTCTGACTATTGCCTTTGCAGGTTGTGTTGTTTTGGGATAAAATAGAGGTTTGGCTTTTCCCCATCTTCTTTTCTTCTGTCATTATCTTGTTGGATGAGAGGCATAGTTTTCTTTGTGATCAGGGGTACATATGCCTTTGTTGGTTTGTTTTGCTCGGTTCTTCAATAAATTTAAATTACCAAAAGAAAAGGACTACTGATACATTCGTAGGTCCTGAGTTGCACACAAAGGTCGATAACATTTGGACATTTTTCCCGTCTCCTAGGCTCCCATTTCAATTACCCTAACTCAGTCCATTTTCCGACATAATCAACCACAGGTGATGCTTCTTGGCCTAAAACTTTTTCATGACTCATGAGTTCCTTATACTTTTGAAAGTTTTATATTCCATAATACTACTTGAACTCCTTTCCCATTCAATAAAAAAAAATCAATTTATTATTCTAAATGTCTTCTTAAGTAGCAGTACACATGTTTGAAGACCAAACAAAGCTCAAAATACATAACATGCCGAGATTGGATTTACTATTAAAGGGTATTATATATATTTTTGGATAATAATTAAACAGAGAAATTTCACGCTCATTTTTCATCAATCATAGTTTGTGAAGCCCAAAACCAAAAATGAAAATTAAAAAAAGAAAAAGAAAAAGAAAAAAAGAGGAACAGACATACCATGGTTCTTGTTTTGTTTTCTCAATGAAATCCTTATCGAGAAGGAAGAGAATGCCGGCGAAGATCAGATGCAACAACACCAACGATACTTTCAAACAAAGCGAAGATCTCCGAGCTAAAACCCAACAAACCCACAATCCCAAAAACATCGAATTGAACACATCAATGCATAGAAATGTTAGAAATTAAAAAATAAAAAATAAAAAAGAGGATGAGGATGAGGATGAGGATGGGGATAAGGAAGAGGCTTTTTGACCTGGGTCGGAGAGACAGGGGAAGAAATGGAAGCATCGGTCGGAGGCGCAATTCCATGCGTCGCGTAGAGCCACCATTGTCATGGACCCAGCAGCATCAAACAAAACCAAAACACTTGCATCTCACTGCTGAGCAAAAGACAAGTCTTTTTTGTCAGTGTATCGAGAGAGAGAGAGAGAGAGGGCATTCAATATAGAACTTAGAAGTAAGTGTGGAATTCAATAGAAGTGCAGAGGAGCAGATATGATGATCGCGTATGGTGTGCGAGCGGTGGAGTCGTGTTGGGTCGGGGAAGGCGCTAGCGAAGCGTTAGGCAATGGGTCTTGGTTGGGTTCGACGTGTCCACCAGACGCACGTTTTTCGTTTGAATAAGTTTACACTTTCACCCCTATAGAATATGAAATTTTTGGAATAATTATAAAATCTATTTATCTATACTAGTGAACAATTCACTTTAATTTCTAAGACCCATTCTCTCATTCTGCGAAGTTAATTTTTTTATATCAAAAAAAAAAATATTTTATTAATTTAAGCTAGACTCTTTTAATTTATTTTCACTATAAATCAGTTTTCTATCTTTGCTAGTAAAATTAATAGAAAAAATGATATTCTAATCATTAAACTCAATGAAAATGATATTTTATATATACATATGTTAAGTATAATAGCTAAAATATTAGTTTTTTCATTGATTTTAATTAATGAAAATAAATAAATTATTTTAACTGAAAATAAACTAAATTATTAGAGTTTAGATTAATAAAATTAAAAATTAAAACTTTATTTTGTTATAAAAATCAAGCTCTAAAGTTTTTTTTTATAATTATCCCAAACTTTTTTTACTTTAGTTCTTCAAAATTTTATTTTCCCACTTCAATCCTTAAAACTGTTATTCAATTTTGATACAATTATCAAGGGAAGTTTGGGTTAAAGGGTAGTTTCCGTACTTTTGAAAAAACAGGATTTCAAGAGTTGCTAAATACAACGGGAAATTCTATTTTGCATACTATCTACTATATTGGGTACAAACTTATGTTGTATTAGTAAAGAGATTTGGAAAAGGAAAAACAAAATATAAAACTATATGAAATATGTATATGTTTTATTCATATTTTACTTATTTTTTTCTTTTTTCTTTTCTAATTTTTTCTTTTCAAAAAATGTATACATCAGATTTACTCCTCCATTTTTGGTTTTATTCTCACTTCTTCCATGGCTCCTTATTTACTTTACTGCTTCTCCATTATTTATCATAAATTTAATTAATATTGTTCTATTGTCCACTTATTATAGGTTTGTGTAACTCCATACTCCATTATTCATAACATTCTACTATTATATCTAGATTTGTGTGAATGGAAGATTTGGCAAACACTGAAAGTTCAGATATAGAGAATAATCTAATTATTCAAGTCGATGAAAATATGAGTTTTTTTATGTTCTTATTTTCGTGTTCATGATTATCACTTGCAAAACCAATTTTGAAAATAATGCACCTATAAGAAAATCAAGTTCTAAAAAAATTCTTACTGCATGACATCTTCTGTTTGTAGCAACAATAGGTGGTAGACGTTTACTAGGTTCAACATCCATATGTATAATAAGGAGAAAAATTATAATCTCATTTGAAAATTATATGTTCAAAATTTATATTTTATTTTGAAGTAAATATTTCAAAAAGTCACTAACAAGTCAAAAAAATTAACAAATTATACACACACCAAAAAAAAAGAAGTCATATTTCATTTGCTCTCTACTTTTTGTATATTTTTTTGTAAAAAGTCAAAAAAATATTCTAAATATACTGATTTTTTTACCTTATATTCTAACCAAAAAAAATTATTAAAATAATTTGTTCCCAAATGAGACTAAGGGTAAATTTGGAATTTTAAGCATTTTAATTATGTCGAGATCGTCATTTTCTATGTGGTCAATAGATGGTCAACTAATAGATGATCCTAACTATTACATATTAAGCAAGAGGTAACAAAGTAATTTCAAAAAATAAAGGGATATTAATGTGATTTCAAGTAAACAAAAATGAGTGCAAGTATAATTTACCCATTTTAAAAACATTGATAATTTGAAACAACTATACACACCCAAATTATATGATTTGACGGTGCCCAAATAATATATATAAATCATATGACTCAATGATATCATTGGGTGGCATAAATATATATATGCTTTCAATAATGTTACCTTTACAACACTGTACGGGGAGGAAATAATTCTCCTCGTATAATCCTGTTGACCAAGTCCACGCTCCTCCGTACGACGTTGCTTTGTCACCTGAAAACACAAACGTGAGCTAGCCGGCGGGTGTGTGCCGGAAACCTCTCCGATGCCTAAGTCAGAAAACTTGACAAATAGACAAAGCTCTATGTTCTCAGAAAAGAATTATGTTCAATTACCTCCTTCAAGGTGATGCTTGTGGGTTTTTATAAGTTTCCCGTGGCACAATCCTAGTAGGACTTGTATTTCTCCATGCAGAGTCCTCCTAGGATTCATACTCCTAAGGATAATGCTTATCCTTTTACACCCTCCCCACTGCTTAAACCAAGTGGGATGGTTTTTACCACGGCCGAACTTCTATGTGACCGAAATAACAGTAGCTATGCTGAGCCACAGAGTAGGCCGAAATAACCTTTGACCGAAGTAAAGTGGGCCGAACTATCCTTAGTTCAGCTCTTCCCTTTACTCTTCCTCATATCGGCTTCTCATCTGTTCAACCCATGGTGTGCTTGGACCGAACCAACGACTCTCGACCGGTATAACTCCCAAACCGGTATACCTCTAAGGTCGATATAACTTCAAGGCCGGTCTAACTTCAAGTTGCTCCTAGACCGAAGTACAATTATAATCCTCTAACCGAAGTAACTTTATCATTTGTGAGCCGAAGTAATTTCACCTCCTTGGGCCGGAGTAACTTTGTCTCCCCAAGGCCGGAGTAACCTTGCCCTCCTGGGCCGGAGTATCCATTACGGCCTTTTTACTTAGTCCTTCGCGTTTTTGGGCCTCAAAGCCCAACTTGCAGCTCGGCCCAATTTTTCCCAAAAATTACCCTCTCAAACACTTATTTTATATTATACTTATCATTTTACTTGTTAACATAATATTACTGTATTGTAATGAATTTCATCTCGCATATATGACAAATGAACTAATATATCATATAGTAAAATAAGCTAATCGAAGTTAAATATTGAATTACTATAATATTATTCTCTTCTCTCTTTTTTTTTTCAATTTAATTTTATAAGCAAAAATAAAAAATAAAAATATAATTTGAGTGATCCATGAACTATCCTAAGTTTCCCCCTCTCTTTCCCCTCTCTTTTTTTTTTTTTTTTTTAATAATACTAGAAATACAAAAATCATTCATAAAATGAGACACTGACCTCTCACACTATTACGTGAATGGTTCGCATACAGTTATTTATTTATTTTTTTTCAAACATCACACCAACTGTTCTTTGGCATGCAGAATCTAACATCTATACATTCAGCAGTAGAAGCGAAGTCAAAATCACAGTCACACATGCACATATGCACCTAACTAGTTAGTTAAGGAAATAGCTGATTCCCACAGATGGGCAAAGATGATTGATTTCCCTTCCATCTCTTCCGTTGTCTAGTTATGCATATGTACCATAATTAAACATATGTCAATAAATGAGTAATGACAAAAATTCCTACAAAATACAATTCTATAACCTTCAAAATAATGTAACCATTCATATCACTGTTAGAGATTAAAAAAAAAAAAAAAAACACACATCAATAGTCAATATATTAGTGGGAGTCGTAAGAATCCTCCTTTGTGGGAGTCCCAAACATTTTCCATCAATAAATATATCTAATATATATGATTGTTCCCCCTCCCAATTTTAAAAATTATTTAATGATTTTGAAACATTTTTCTAAGTCAATCATATCAGAATACTTTTTCTAATTTTTCTGATCTATATAGATAGCCAAGAGAAAATTGCATTATCCAGAGGAAAATGATTGTTCAACTAATATTTAAGACAAAAGTGACTCATGTAATGAAACTCCACCAATAATCAATAAAGAGTTCCCACATTAGTCAATTGTGAACTCACTTTCAGTCCTCATAAACTATAGTGTTAAAATGACATAAAAAAAAATATTGTTGAAAAAATTTGAATAAAAAATGTTAATGTCAACACGTTTATGAGTCATTTTATATCAAATCAAATAACACTGCTACATTACCAAATTTTTTTAGTCCAAATTCTTTGGAATGAGTCTCTCTCTAGAAAGAGACTCTCTTCCCGAGAAGAGACTCATTCAGACAAATTCAAACTAAACAAATTCGGTAGACGAATCATTAATCTAAATCAAGACAACAAAGGTGAATCTTTAGAATTACAATTTGTTGATGTATTCTTGGTTTACATAGAGAGATAGCAAAACCTCGGAGGAGATTGAAATTGGCTTTCATCGTTTCACCCGAAGCAGTGATGCCTAAGTATTTTTCACCTTATTTATTTTGTAATATTTGTTTATTTAGTTTTTAAAAAAAAATAGAGATTAATTTTAACCCATTAGACTGTTCAGCCTGCCTCATTGTGAGTCCACCTTCAGGGCGGAACTATGATATTAATTGAGTGTGCCAAGTTGGTGTCCTTCAGCATTCCCCATTCCCCATTCCCCATTCCCCATTCCATTCTTGTCAACTAATTGAACATGAGTCATTTTATATCAATTTCATCATAATGGCCTTTTCTAATATTTTTATTTTAAATAAAAACACATATCATATCGCAGATCGTAATCTTAAAAACAAATAACAGTAAATTACATTTTTCACCCACCAACTGCTATTTGAATTTTACTTTGGTCAATCATCTTCTAATTGTAATAATTAAGTTATCATGCTTCAACTTGTACTTCAATGTAATCTTCCTGTCACTCACCACTAAAAATTTGGATGAAAATTGTTACTGTGAGCACATTTGAAGGACATTAGAGCAAATTTTGGTTATAACAAATTACACTTCCGATCCTCCAACTTTCACTTACATTCCATTTTAGTCCCTCATGTTTCAATTTTCACTCAAATTTTAAACAATAGGGCAATAGGAGGATCAAGTTAAAGCTTGAAAACTTAATTGCTACTTCAGGTGAAAGTTGGAGAGTAAAAACTGAAATTTACCCTTTTGTTTTATATAATTTTTTTGGGTATGGATTCTTTAATGATAAAAATTTAATTATAAAGAAAACAAGAAATCTCATATTGGTTTCCTATAATTTGAACATTCATTAGATTTAAAGGAAGTGAAAACAGTATGCTGTGGGCAGGGAGAATTCAATGGACTAGGGCCATGCACGCCATCATCACCCAACCTTTACACAAATAGAAAGGAATGCATGTTCCGGGACTGGTTTCATCCCACTCAAGCTGTCTCCCACTTGGCTGCCATTTCCCTCTATGGTGGTTCTGCACAGTTTGTTATTCCCATGAATTTTAGTCACTTGGCTTTGTATACATAATTATTATACTTAATTGATTATTAATTAATGTCTAAGATATGATATATTAAACATCATTGTCTCACTATACTACTACTTGAATTCATAAACTGGTTTGTGTTCTATTCAGAAGTGTGGATATGTATATGAATAAATAAGCTTGCCTAGAAGAGTGTTTGGGGCCCTTGGACTTGATTAATAAGCGACGAAACTTCTTTAAATTTTGTCTCCTATACTTTCATTTTTGCTTCTAAGTTTGGCTACTTGCCTACTTAGATTTTGGCAGTCCCTGTGTAGCCTCCTTTCTAAATATGTAATATATGCAATGCTGTCTTTTCTGAATAAAGTTATGTGATGATTGTATTCGGATATACATTTTGAGTACCATTTTATATGATGTCTTGTCCTATATCACACCAATTATATCAAATGAATCAGAAAGCACAATATTAATATTAGATTGCAAAGAAATATCGTGATTATTTGCTGCAAAGAAATAATTCATCAAGACTTCAAGTTTTCATATAAAGAAAGACAGACATTAGTGAGGCTACAAGTTATGTATGCATATGTACATATATACATTAAGATCTAAGCAGACAAATGTTTCTTAACAGCATCAGTAGATTTATGAGCAAAGTACTTTTGCCTAAGATGTACATATGGGTACCCAATTAGTGAGAGAAAGTGTGCCGGCTTCGAGAAGGAAAGTATTTCATACCAGACTTGGTTGTCCTCACCCAGTTCAATCGAGAAGCGTTCTTCCCCAGCCTGCACTCAGCAGAAATGTGTAAGATGTTTGTAATGTTTCAGCTTTAACCAATTCATAGAAGAAAGCTCCATATGCTAAATTATGTGAAAGAAACTAGGAGAGAAACTGAATTCATGCACCTTTTGGAAAAATGATTTCCAAGTCTGAACAACAAGAAAAGAAGAGATTAAAAAGAAAAGGAAAAAAAGAAAGAAAGAACAAATATAACCCCTCTCTCTCTCTCTCTCCTCTCTGTTTGTTGGGGGGGTTTGGTGGTTTGACGAGTGAAGCAATTTTCACTTGATGAAGCAGTAATAAAAAGAAAAAAGAATATATATGTGAATGCCATCTATAAAAATAGGAAAAATAGAACAATGGTGAAGTCAGTCAATCACAATTTCAGTTTATCATCATCATAGATTACTACAGAAAAAGCTTGCACAGATTCATTTTTGCTCAGCTCCGGTAAACCATAATGTAATTAAGTTTTCACCAATCCCCAAAAGGGAAAAAATGTGTTTACATTGTCAGCATCTAAATCTCCTCATCTCCATCAAACTGACAGTGAGAATGTAACAGAATGGACCAATCACACAATTTAATGAAAACAATCATTTGACAGTAGGAATGCAACAGATGGACCAATTACACAATTTAACGAAAACAATATCATTTGAATGGTCTTGTGGAGGTAAGGACCTTGGATGATTTGAATGCCTTCGGTACAATGTCAGTTTTATAAAAATAAAAATAAAATAAAAAAATGCAATAAAAAATTACACAACTTGCTGGCATCAAGCATTCTGGAAGGTTAAGGAAATGCACCAAACAGGGAATCACATGTAACTAACTAAAACCTTGACGGCATGAATGAATTACATGAACAAGTTGATCCAGTCCTAAACTTGTGATAGAATTTGTCTGCCAAGAAAAATAGCATTGATTGAATAAGATATACATGACACCATCACTCGAATAAGTTATGATATGTGTCATGTATAAATAAGCAATAATCTTCTATCTACAGATACCAGTTATGGAGTCAACCTCTTGGCCAGGAAATAAAGACAGTGAATGCTCCAAAAAATTACTTAGATACATCTGGTGTGGCCCAATCGCTTTGATACAGAATGGACCAATCACACAATTTAATGAAAACAATCATTTGACAGTAGGAATGCAACAGATGGACCAATTACACAATTTAACGAAAACAATATCATTTGAATGGTCTTGTGTAGGTAAGGACCTTTGATGATTTGAATGCCTTCGGTACAATGTCAGTTTTATAAAAATAAAAATAAAATAAAAAAATGCAATAAAAAATTACACAACTTGCTGGCATCAAGCATTCTGGAAGGTTAAGAAAATGCACCAAACAGGGAATTACGTGTAACTAACTAAAACCTTGATGGCATGAATGAATTACATGAAAAAGTTGACCCAGTCCTAAACTTGTGATAGAATTTGTCTGCCAAGAAAAATAGCATTGATTGAAAGTCATACATGACACCATCACTCGAATAAGTTATGATATGTGTCATGTATAAATAAGCAATAATCTTCTATCTACAGATACCAGTTATGGAGTCAACCTCTTGGCCAGGAAATAAAGACAGTGAATGCTCCAAAAAATTACTTAGATACATCTGGTGTGGCCCAATCACTTTCCTACACATTTTTCATTCTTTATAGTATAGAAAATCAGGCCGTAATAGAAGATTTTTTTATATAATTATCAGGTAGAAATCAAATAAAATATGGAAAATTTATACAATTTTTCACATCAAAGAACTCTCAAAGTCAAATCTGTGCAAGGTGTTATGTACGCATAAATGTAACTGATGATACCAGTGTCAAATCATCTTTAATGATGTAAATTACTTAACAAATAATGTTCTGTGAACAGATATGATTACTTTAACCTCTCTCTCGACACTATACTCTTATATTATTTCCAAAATGTAGATGTTAAATTAAAATCATATATAAATACACACACCACAAGTTACCAAACCTGAATAATCTGATATGAGAGTATAGGCAAAAAGTAACAAGTGTTCAACAAGCAACAAAAGCTGAAAAAAGTACATTGCAGTTTTGACGCAGGATTCCTTACATTATGAAGTAAAAGAAATTAATGTTCAACTAACTTAGTAATCAAAATGAATCCCATAACGATAGCACATTGTCCAGTTTGGTACCAATATAAAAACCTCAAGCATCAAATGTCAATTCACAATGAAAGGCATTATTTATCCCCCCAAAAAAAAAATCACAATGAAAGGCATTGTTGTTTCTGATGCATTCTAATTCTATATTCTTTAGAGAGGAAGGGAATAAAAAAGTAGCACCTAACTTTTTGCTTTGTTGAAGAGAATGAAAGAGTAAAGAAAAAATTCACAGCTGAGTTTTGATGGTTGCTGCAATTGCTGAGTAAGATGTTTTACCAAAGGTCCTTCACCATGCTTTTTGTTTCAAAACAAAAACAGGAGAAACAAAAAATTTTGCTTCAAAAACAAGGAGGGCTTATGTATCCATTGTTTATATCACACAAGAATTCATGACGTTCTACAGATGCAACAAAAGGGAATAAACCTGTCTCTTTTATTGTTGGAATCATGGAACCACAAAAATTTAACCTATCATGTACAAACAATTACAACTAGCCCATAAGCACTAACCAGTAAGTGTCCTTGAAGGGTGCCACTACCAAATCCAAAAGAGGCCGCAGCCTTTTTAGTGTTCCTGTTCTCGTTTACGTATACAACCTGAAGAGGCATCATGAGCCAGGGGAAAAATTCTTTCACACAAACGCAGAACTTCACCCCACTTTGGATGGGAGTCCTGGGATCAACAAATGACCAATCTAATCCAAAATGCCTGCAAAGTAAATTAAGATGTAGATTAAAACCTGTCTCATTAGTTGCTAATTGGAATCTAATATATATATGTGAGTGAGCGGGTGTGTGCACAGTGCAAACCTCCAAGTTTGAAGAGCTGTTTTGCCCTTTTCATAGGTCTCAAGGCCTGAACCGACTAAAATTCGGGCATGATTGATCAAGAAGCCATTTTTTGAGAGCTCCCTATCTTCTTGAAGTGAAGATGCAGGCTTGGCACTAGCTCCTCTATGTTTAGAGTCATAGTTAAAGGCTCCAGACCTGTTGATGTGTTAGCCATCAGCACAATAGACTTATACCCCTCAATGGATTTAGTTTCACTGGTAACAGCAGAAAAATCATAGCTGAAGTGCACTAGTTTTTACTTCATAATGCAAGCCTTCTGTTCTTCAGGAGACGGGCGAGTCCAACACAAGAAAACCATCTCTCTTATATTCAAAAAATCTTCAAAACACCAATTGAAAAAAAAAAAAAAAGAATACACATATAAGCATCAATCACAAACAAATCAAATGTAATGATTTCATTTGATCAAAAGGAACATTGTCATTGCCAAGGTGGTCTAAAACGAACAATTATTTAGTGCCCCCGGGGCAATGACGTGGCAACGCCACAAAACATGCGTAACCATTCATTTGTGTGGATTGCACATGGGTCTCATACAAATAAATGGCTTGAATTGTTTTGTGGCAATGCCAAGAGGGACATGGAATAATTTTCCTGTATAACACCCGTTTGGTGTAACTGTTAAAACAGCTTATAGATTATACCTTAACAGATTATAGATTATGACTTTAATCAGAAGTTGTTAATCTATTTGGTGTAGCTGTTAAATTATAGATTTAAGTTGCCGAGTAGTGTTTGTTAAATAAGTTGTGAAATAGCTTTTTCAATTAATTTTTATTTTTTATTTGTCTACATTTCTCATAAAAAATAATAATAATAATCTATAGTCCATTTGAATCTTTTTCTATTTTTAAAAAAATAAAACATAAAAAAATTTAAGAGTATAACCATAAATTAACATGTCCATAACAGAAGCTGATAATTAGAAGCAAGGGGTAAGCAGCTTCTCAGAATCAGTTTTTTTGAGTTAAAATAAGCTATTAAAATCAGAAACTGTTTGAAATAAGTTTAACCAAACAGTCCAAAATAACTTTTTCAAAGCTAAAAGTCATAAGTTGGTTCTGAAAAGCTGAAACAAACAAATGATTTCACAAGTTAGGAGAGAAAAAAGAATGATTATGTTACTCCAATAACCTAAACCAAACAACATAAAAGGAAAGAAAATAAATTATTTTATTATATTATTTACCAGTATCAACTTTTTTTGAAAAAATTACTCATAAATCCCATTTAGGAAAATGTTAGTCTATTTAGTCTTACATGTTTGTTTATAAACCAATTAATCCTTTTTATTTGCAGTATGCATTATTGATTTAATTTAGTAATATTAGAGTTTACTTGTTTGCCCTTATTTGAGATTTGGTTTTGATGTTTTTTGGGGATTTAGGTATATGTGGGTAAAGTATGGTTTAACATTTCCATTTTTTTAGGGATTTCGTGAACTGATTGTGGGGATTGTTAATGTTACCTACTTGGTGTTACATTATTGATGTTATCCTCCCACTGGCCCCCAACAATACTAACATTGCAAGAGATCCAAACAATCATAACGACATTAAATAAAAACAATGCGTCAATTACATTAATATCATGCACAACATCACATTTGCAATCATTGATAACCCCCACACCCACAAAAATAATAACATTACATGAGACCCAACTAGTCATACAAACATTAATTAAAACACCATGCGTCTGTCACATTACGTACATGTACAACATCACATTGGTGTCACTAGTAACCCCCAAAACCGCGATATTAACAACATCACCTAAAACCCCACATTACGCACCATTTAAACAACATCCAATTTCGAGCATCGACCTTGATGTCGTATTGTTCCACAAACAACCAAAGTAACATCGAAGACACTCATACTTGTTGTCATTGCATCAATACACGATCAACGCTGCCGCTAACGGATTGATGTGAAATCATCGATGTTACGTCGACAACGTTACTTGCACTCCTAGATGTCTTAATACCCATGCCGCTTCGCCTCTGTAAATTTGTTAGAAGGGATTTTAGCATTTTCTAGGATTTTGAAGGGGTTCTGTAATGTTATTTGGGAAATAAATAATGCTAGGTGCAATGTTGCCAAATCCAGCGTCCAACTCACACAAAAATGAGGATCAACATTGCAACATCTACAAGGAAATGTTGAATTTTCAATTTTTGAGCTTCCGTTTTGTTCGCAATGGAGGGAAAAGGAAAAATTGCTATAGTATGCTTTTGGGCGTTTTGGTAACTACGTCATTGCCTAAACACCCAATTTACCCCTCCAAACAACCAACCCACACGTCACATTAGTGGGCTTAAGCGTAAATAACATTGATTTGGGACCTTTAAGTTTACAAAATAAATTGCAGGACTATATGGTTCAAACTATCTAAACTTGGAATTTATTGGTGTTTTACCCTTTTTTTATTGGGCAATTTTGATATTACAAAAATAAAAATAATTTGTGGATTTCTTTCCTTTCCCAATCTCCCTTTTTTTTTCTTTTTTTTTTTTTTTTTTTTTTTTTTTTTTTTTTTTTGAGTTTCTCTACTTTTCTTCTCATTTCCCCTAATTTCTCTCATTTTTACCAATCCAATATTCTTTTCTTCCGAAATCACAAAATCCATGTAAAAGAATTTTGGGGGGATAAAAAACAAAACCTGTATAATAATGGATAAGTTGAGCCAATCGAGCCAATAATGGTCGATCAAAACTGGTTTAAGAATTAAAAAGCGTGAAATAGGTGTTTCATTGATGAATAGAGTTGCAATGAAAGATCAGATAAGAACATTACTTGAAGCATACATTATTACACAAATAACAGAGACTATGATAGTGTATTTGGGAGTGAATGCGAGATAAAGTAGGTAAATTTTTACAGATATATCTGATAAGGTAGGGTTTGAGAGAGAATTGTTTGGTTACCGATTTTCTCAGTGCAAGCGATGAGATCTTCGAAGTTGCACCTTGAATAATTCCACAGAGAGAGAGAGAGAGGGCGGAGCGAAGAGTGATTGTTATGGAAGAGGAAGATAAAAGAGGCACGGTTCCACTGCGGTTAGGCTCTCTGTGACGAGTCTGGACTGGACGCCAACGCTTAATATTATTTGAATTTGATTTTTAACAAAAAAAGAAAAAAAAATTTAAAAAAATTACTTGTACCTCTCCAATGGTTTCACAAAGTGATATCAAATTAAGAATGGAATAAAATTTTCACTAAATTGAAGAGCTGGGACAGGTTTTACTAAAATATTGTACATTTACGTTGGAGGTAGATCCTATCAGATAACAAGTCGGACGTCCTCTTCTTGTTGTTTTCAGTTCTGATTGGAATTAATTTGATGGTGATATGTTGATTTGGAAATTAACAACAATCTTCAATTTTCTAATTTTGTGTTCTTGTTAACTGCATATGTATATGTGGTGATATAATTTTTGAATAATGAACACGTAGCCGAGGTGGCACCGAAGTGCCAGCCGAGGTGGCACCGAAGTGCCAGCCGAGGTGCTACATGTCCTTGACTTGGTGCCGAGGTAATTTCGGCTAGGTCGAGGTTATCTACGGAGATATTGGAATCCGGGATAAGCGGATAAGGGACAAGAGTCCTAGGATGAGAGAGGACTTCAGTTTGGCTAAAGATAAGACTCTTAGAGGGTTTATCCCAATCCAGCTACGAATCCAGGATTAGCATTGAGCCAGAGTCCATTGAAGCTACGTTTCTATTGGGATTAGGTCAGTGTTGGCTATAAAAGAAAGGCACCCTCGTGAGTCTAAGGTATGCTTTTTGTATTCTGAATAGTGAGTTAAGCACTTTTGCTATCTTTGAGAGATAACTGACTTGATCGTCGGAGTGTCCCCGGGTGGACGAACCACCGCCAGAATCTTATCTTTCTGTGACAGGTCGTTCGAGCTTAATCCATTCTGCCTGTGTTTTCCAGCTGAGTACCTGTTTGGCAATGTGGTCGGAAATTGACACACACAATTTGGTGCCGTCTGTGGGAATGAAAGAAGAATAGATGGCCAATGACGGGCGAAAAGAAAATGTTGGAGACGACATCCCTACTAGGAGTGGTAAGCACATTGACCCTAACGTAGAGGAGGATAATTGCAACGAAGAAACTCGGGATCAGAATCCCAGAGAGAAATACGTCAGCAAGGAAGACGACGCACCAAAGAAATCAGACTGAAGCAGGTATTATAACGAGGACGACCTCCAGGTATGGAAAGATAGATACTTGCGGAGGGACGAAGAGATGAAGGGAATGGCGAACAAATTGGTAGACCTACAAATAGTCGTCAATTTCATGATGCAGAACAACGTCATGCAACCAATGTTCCCGTTACAAGACACGCTGATTCCAGCGGCCAAGAACAATGCCCAGAAAAGACAGAAAATAGTTCCCACTGTCCCTCAGCACGACAAGATTAAGGGACATTCTCACCAGCCTTCGCGGGAGGTTGGGCATGAAGAATCAATGAGGAGAGAATCCTAGAAGACACGTCGAACTAAAGAAACCTGTACCAAAGAACATCGGAATGTTCAGGTAAAGGAACTCTGTTTCGACACGACCAATGGAGGGAGGTCCAAAAGGACTCATAATGACACTAGAAGTAGTGCACCAAAAAGGCTAAAAATCGGAGATAGCCGAGCTCCTGGACGAACCAAGGAGGATTTGAGGGATTACCTCCAAAGGAAGTGACAAGATGCCGAGGTGGCTTCTCCGGTCAAACCGAGAACGCCGTTTTCGGTATAATTGGATAAATTCGAAGCCCCGAAAAGGTTCAATATGCCAAGATTCCAGATATACGACGATAAGTCAGACCCTAACTTTCACGTCGGGTTGTACCTGAACTCGATGGCACTATACACCGGGAACGAGCCGTTGCTTTGCAAGGTGTTCCCCTCGTCCTTCGGGAAAATTGCATCGAACTGGTTTCACAAGTTGCCGAAAGGAACTGTGAAAACCTAGGAAGGCCTGGCCAAGATGTTCATGGCCAGGTTTGTGACAAACAAACTACAACCATTAAGGGTGGACTCCTTGATGGCTTTGAGAATCAGTGAGGATGAAAGCCTTAGGGCCTATGCCAAGAGGTACTATGAGGTGTTCAACCGAATACCACGGTGCAACCAAGAGGTGGCGGTCGTGTCTTTTAAGAACGGCCTAAAAGATGATTGCCTACTTCGAAAATCACTGGCAAAGACATTGCCAAAAAGTATAGAGGAACTTATGGCAAGGATAAAAAAGTATGTGAGGGCCGAGGAGGACATGCCGGGGACAAAGGCGTAAAAACAAGAGAAGAGAAACGGTTCGCTGAACCAAGGCCAAGGTAATAGAGGATACAATAAACAAGAGATAGGATTAAGGGCTGTGCAGGCAGTCACAACCGTATTCCGAATCCCGATTTATAAAGTCTTGGAAAAAATCTGAAATCAACCCTATTATAGAGCACCAGTAAGGGTTCTGGGTGAATATATGGAAAGAAGCCTTGGCAAGCACTGTGCTTACCACAATGAAGATGGACATCTGACTCAGGGGTGCAGAGCCTTGAAGGCACATCTGGAAGACCTGGTAAGACAAGGCCATTTAAGGGACCTTGTAGACGAGGCTAGGACAAGGGAAGAGCAAACAAGGCTGCCTCAGGCACCGGCAACACCGCCTCCTCCAGCACCACAACCGCAGGCAGACGGACCTCGAGTGATCAATGTGATTCACTAGAAGGTCAATAAGAACGAAATACGTGGGAAACCCAGAAGGAAAAACACTTGCAACATGTGTATCAAGTCCGACAGAAGCGACCTAGAGCAGAGGAGTGCCAGGGACTAGTGGTGTCCTTTACTGAAGACGACCTAGAGATGGTGCAGCGTCCACACAACGATGCCTTGGTAGTATCCCTCCAGATTTGAGCGTTCCAGTTAAAGCAAATTCTGATCGACTAGGGCAGCTCTTGCGACATCATGTATGTCAGATGTTACAAGGAGCTTGGCCTTTACCAAGATGATATGGAACAATCCAATGGTCCAATGTAATGGAACGCCAACGTGGCCCTTGGGGGTAGCAAATTTGGAGGTGCAGGCTGGCACCAAGAAGGTAAAAACTGAGTTCACAGTAATTGACACTCCCTCCCCTTACAGTGCTATTCTGAGAAGGCCATGGCTACATGTAATGGGGCTGTTCCCTCAACATTGCACCGGTTATTGCGATTCCCAACAGAGCATGGAATTGAAGAGGTCAGAGGGGATCAAGTGTAGGCAAAGAATTACTCCATGGCAACAATGAAATCTACCTGCAACATACGAGAAGCAAAAGCAGCAGAGATCGAGGATAAGGACATGGAAGTCCTGGAGGACGTCGGCAAAGAGCCAGCCGAGAAGAGTGAAGAAGCCCTGAAGAAAATCCTTGTCCAATAAGGGGATGAAGAACGCTTCTTCCTTCTCGGCTCAGGCTTGGCAGAGGAAGAGGAAAAAAAGCTAGAGGCGTTCTTGAGAGCAAACATTGAGGTGTTTGCCTGGATGCCGTACGAGATGCCTGGTATTGACCCCGAGGTCACTTGTCATAGACTGAATGTGGGCAGGTCGGCTAAACCTGTCATCCAGCGAGTAAGGAAGCCAACATTGATGCATGTTGAGGCAGTAAAAGAAGAAGTTGATAAACTTCTGGAGGCTAGAGCCATTTGAGAGGTAAACTACCCGACATGGCTATCAAACACGGTCGTCGTGAAGACAAAGAATGGGAAGTGGAGGGTCTGTGTGGACTACACCAGCCTGAACAAGGCTTGTCCCAAAGACAGTTTTCCACTTCCCAAAATTGACCAATTGGTGGATGCCACCTTAGGACGTGGAAGGATGAGCTTCCTGGATGCCTACAAGGGATACCATCAGATAGCTATGTACCCCCCAGATGAGGAGAAAACTGCATTTATCACCCCAAAAGGGTTGTGTTGCTACAGAGTGATGCCTTTCGGGTTGAAAAATGTAGAAGCAACTTACTAGATATTGGTGACTAAGATGTTCAGACATCTAATAGGCAAAATAGTGGAGGTATACATTGATGACATGGTCGTGAAGACCAAGGAACCTAAGAACCATCTGGAAGACTTAAAGGTAGTTTTTGACATCCTTAGAACATATCGGCTCCGACTCAATGCATCGAAGTGCGCATTTGGAGTTGGGTCTGGTAAGTTCTTAGGATACTTGGTTACTAGAAGGGGCATTGAGGCTAGCCCCGATCAAATCAATGCCATTCTGGAGTTGGAGAGCCCAACATCGGCAAAACAAGTGCAGATGTTGACTGGAAGGGCTATAGCCCTGAATAGATTCATAAGCAGAAGCTCTGACAAATGTAAACCTTTCTTCAGCTTAGTGAAGAAAGCCACAGACTTCTTATGGACAGAAGAGTGCGAAGTCGCCTTGGCCGACTTGAAGAAGTATTTGACTACAACTCCAATTCTCTCAAATCCAGTACCTGGAGAGGAGTTGTTCTTATGCTTAGCAATTTCAGAGCATGTAGTGAGTGTAGTAGTAATGAGAGAAGAAAATTGAGAGCAAATAGCAGTTTACTACGTGAGTAAAACCCTAGTTGATGCTGAGACCAGATACTTATCCTTGGAGAAGCTAACACTGGCTTTAGTAATGGCTTCCAAGAAGCTGAATCATTACTTTCAAGCCCACAAAATTGTGGTGTTAACTGAGCATCCCTTGAAGCCCCTGTTGCAGCAGGGAGATTTGACAAGCAAAATAGCCAGATGGGCAGTGGTGTTGGGCCAATATGACCTGGAATTCAGACCCAAAACAACAATCAAAAGCCAAGTTTTGGCCGACTTCGTGGCTGAGTTCACACCAGACGCCATCATACATCGGGCTCCGTTGAGCCGAGATATACGATATCCAAGTGAACAAGAAGAAACTCAGCTGGGGATAGCAGAACAAAGGAAGGAAAAGAAACTCAGGCCATGCAGTATTTACATCAACGACTCCTTCCGGTTGTTTGTTGATGGGAGTTCAAACCGACAAGAAGCGGGGTAGGAATAGTGCTAGTGTAATAACCCTCACCACTGTTTACCAATAAACTACCGATTACTGCTAAACTGAGA